CCTTCGCCTTCCAGGGATCAATTCCTTCAGCTGTCCAATAAGGACTGGACCAGAGGAGCATTTCCCAAACTGCAAAAAAAAGGGTAAATAGCATACCACAAAAAGAGAGAGACTGAGTCTTAGGCCAAATATGTTGGGAAAAACCATTTAATACCTATTAGAATATTAAAAACTCTGACTGAGGTTGGGCTGTCCAATATGGTAGCCACTAGTCACATGTGATGACTTAAATTAAAATTAATTAAAATCAGTTAGGGGCGCCTGGGTGGCTCAGTCGTTAAGCGTCTGCCTTCAGCTCAGGTCATGATCTCAGGGTCCTGGGATCGAGCCCTGCATCGGGCTCCCTGCTTGGCGGGAGGCCTGCTTCTCCCTCTCCCACTCCCCCTGCTTGTGTTCCTGCTCTCGCTCTCTCTTTCTCTGTCAAATAAACAAATAAAATCTTTTAAAAAAATCAATTAAAATTGAGAATTCATTACCTCCATCTCACCAGCCATATTGCAAGGGCTTGATAGACATGTGCGACTGGTGGTTGCCATGCAGCACAGAAGCAACTGGAGAATTTCCTTGCTCACAGAAAGTGCTGGTTGATGGTGCTGCAGTCAGAGGAGGCCTGTTCCAGCTTAACCAGAATCTCCCACACGCATTTGACTGCACTACCCCTACGGCACATCCACGACCAACGTGAGAAGTAATATTGCTCCCAGGAACATGGTCAGATGTTGAGCGAGAGGAATTTCTTGGGGCCCTTCCAACTCTGAAAGTGAAGAAGGGGGAACATTCTGGTAACTGAATTCCTCCTAGGGGAGGGAACCACCTGTGTGTAGCAGCTCTCTTGGCTAAAAAGACATTGTAATTGTGGATGCAGCTGGGATGCACTGGGAAGGAGGGGGCAGGGAACGCAGTTGCTCATATGAAAGGGTGTGGAATTGGGAGAGGGAGAGGAGGTGAGTGGGTGATTGGGTTGAGGGTCATGGAGGGTCTAGCAGTCTGGTTGGAAGATGGGGCCCAGGCAGGAGGGAGGACGGGGGGTGGGATGGCTGAGGGACCCTGGAGAGCAGAGAGGTCTGATGTGCAGGTGGAAGGCATCTGCTCCCGGCTGCACTGCAATGGAGCGCCCCTCACACATCACCCGCGAGTCAGCACGTGTCTCCCACATCTGGACACGTGACATTGGAGAAAATTAAGAAACGGGAGCTTTGACCTTTGGGCTGCCCAGAAAGGGACTTCAAGAGAGTCGAGAGCTGAAGGATAGTGAATCCAGCAGAAGAAGGTCACATGGAAAAGAAGACTTGCAGAGGCAAACTAGGGGAAATGGACCCCCACCATGAGAGTCTCCAGAGAGATCGGAAGGTGTGGTGGCTCTAAAACATGCCCCCCACCAGGAGGGCACCTGGGTGGCTCAGTTGGTTAAGCATCTGCCTTCAGCTCAGGTCATGATCTCAGAGTCCTGGGATCGAGCCCCTGAAGGGCTCCCTGGGAAGGAGTCTGCTTCTCCCTCTCCCTTACCCCTCTCCCCTGCTCGTGCTTGCTCTCTCTCTCTCTCAAATACATAAAATCTTTAAAAAAATAATTAAAAAATAAAACATGCCCCCCAAATGCTCTGACACTCTTTTTTTTTTTTTTTTTTAAGATTTTATCCATTCATTTGAGAATGAGAGACCACAAGCAGGGGGAGCAGCAGAGGGAGAGGGAGAAGGAGACTCCTCGCTGAGTTGGGAGCCTGATGCGGGGCTCAATCCCAGGACCCTGGGATCATGACCTGAGCTGAAGGCAGACGCTTATCCGACTGAGCCACCCAGGTGCCCCTGTGACACTTTATATGCCCTCTCCTTAGATATTGGTCCTGTGACTGCTTGACCGATAGAATACGGTAGAAATGACCTAAATCTTAAGAGACTGGTAGGCTCCACTTCCTATTTCTAGGGACACTTATTCTTGGAATCCAGCTGCCGTGCTGTGCCCAGGGCACACTGAAAGGCCAAGTGTAGGTTTCTGGCCGACCAGTCCTGACCGAGATTCCAGTTGACAACCAGTGTCAGCTGTCAGCCATGGGCCTGAAGAAGCCTCTGGATCGCTCCAACTCCATTCACCACCACTGCAACCACACAAAAAGCCCTGAGCGAGAACCCCTTGTTAGGCCCAGTGAACCCCCAGAACTGTGAGGAAAAAATAATAAAATGATTTTGCTCTAAGCTAGTAACTAAGTTTTGGTCGATCCATTTTGCAACAATAGTCTCACTGAAGGCATGGATCCCTTCACAGTGGGATGGGATAGGGGAGCCAACTTTTCATGAAATCTTAAAGCACAGAGGGGCCTCAGCAAACTGTTCTACTCGGAGGCTGACAGGAGTGACATCTGGTTGAACTTGGTATGAGATAAAGTTTCTGCTGTGACCTTGAGGAGGGGGCCCAGAGACTGTCCAGGTGAGAAACGGAAAGGTGTCAACGGTGACTTGGAAGCTTCTGTCTTGGGCAACTGTCCTCAGGGACAATGTGAGCTGAAATTGGGGGCGGGGAGGGAGGAAGAGGATGGATGAGCGGGTTGGGAGGAAGGGGAGAAGACCAGTTTGGGATGCACTGCTGCATTTTCGATGTGCCTTGTAGAAATACCAGAACCTGCTGATAGATTAATAAAAAAAGAGAAGCTTCGGCTCGTGTCCCCAGAGCAGAGATTTGAGAAGTCTGAACCCCAGAACTCATTCGTAAATGCCCACGTGCGTTCACTCATGTATTCCCTCGCTTACTCAGCCATTCAGGCAGGCAGATTTATGTCTAAGAGGGCAGACCCTGCAGCCAGACCGCCTGCGTTCAAAGCCCAGCTCGATCTCTTCCTAGTGGCAGGGCCGTGGGCAGGCGACACAGGCTCTGTGCTTGCGATTCTTTATCTCTAAATAGGGAAGATAACGGTATCTATATTATTGTAAAGATTAAAAAAGTACACACGCGGAAAATTCTTAGAACGGTGCTTGCAACATAAATACATACGACCTGTGAGCTACTAATATTCAACCAAAAATCTTGGGTCCCCTGCTGCACTGAGAACACAGCAGGGAACAAGGCAGACACAGACCGGGCCCCGGGAAGCTTCCATGCCAGTCCTTATTCAACACCGGGGCCCTATGGTTCCTTAGGTTTTCTCTCCTATGTATTGTTCCATTTGATCCTCAGAAGGGCCCCAGGAGGTTGTTATAACAGTGAACTTATCCCTACTTGACAGAGGTGGAAACTGAGGCCTGGAGAGGAGAATTGCTGTCCTTGCACAATTGATGTCCTCCATCTGCCGTCACAAATCTGTGTGTCCCTTCAACAAAGGCTCTGTGACACGAGGGCTGACCAACCTCTTGCCCCCGAGTGAGGGGCCCCGCAGCCCTCTCATGCCCAAGGTTCCAGAGGCATGAGGTGGGGGCACTGAGCCTGAGCTGCCCCTCTCCCTGCTCAGTCTCCCAGGTGAAGTGGGTGTTTTTCCACTGGGTGTGACTCACAAAACCCCACCCAATACCATCTTCATGGATGCCTGAAATTCCACCATTCGTGATTCATTCTTTCAGGTTGAGCAATTGCTCCCAGGAACATCTTTTAACATCCCAAATTCCTCTGGGATGGGTTGCTAAAGGCCCTAAATATGATCCCTTTCCTTCTATGGATGAAGAAAGCGTGCTCCAGAAGGAAAAGCGACTTGCCCAAGGACATATGGCCAGTCAGTGGCAGAGCGGGGATGAGAAGCCAACACGGCGGACCCTGGAGCCCCACCCTGGCTGCGGGGGGCACCGAGAGATACTCCCATGCATCGTACGCTACTTTGCAGCCTGCGAGGAGCTTTTCCCTCCCAGGGTCCACTTGCTTCGGGTCATCCCTACCAGCTGGCCGCCCTCCTCCCTGCTGTGGGCATGAGCTATGTGGGGCTGCTACAACCATTCCCTCTTCTGATAACAGGGCTTGGTTTATTATTTTGGGAACTAACCTAAAGGTGCCGTTCCTTGGTCCCCGCTGCTGGATCTCTGAGGGGCTATGGTTTCTGGCCTTTCCCAGGCCTGGTTTACCTCCTCCTTCCATCTTATGGGCAGCCCCAGATCCTTGCAGGGCATTCGTTTTCGTTGTTGAGATAGTTTAAGTAAGCCAAAGTTGGTTTCTGTTGCTTCCTCCTGAAGAGCTCTAATTGGCATACCCACCTTACAGATGAGGAGGGTGAGGCGTGGAGAGGAAACGTGAAGGAGAGGTAGAGCCAGGACTGCGAGCCCGTGGCCTGCTTCCCAGCCTGGGCTCTTAAGGAAAGAGGAAGGTAGAGAGGAGTACAAGTGAACAGGCCTGAACAGAGTGTAAGTGGTTAAGTGAGAGGCTTTGGAGTCAGACAGACCTGAGTTTGAAGTCTCTATCTGTGATGTGTTAGTTTTGGGGACTTGGACAAGTCATTTCATCTCCTCAGAGCCTGCAGGGTACTGTTGGTGAGTAGAGCACTGGGGGAATTTTGCCTTTCACACATTTCCCTGGACAGGGACTCCTGTGCAGTGAACAACCTGGACAATGGTACAAGACATCCCTATGGATAGATAATATCGGCCTTATGTGGTTGGTATGGGGATAAATGAGATAATGTATATAAAGTTTCTGGCACAGTGCCCAATACTTAGTAAGTACTCAATAAATAGTAGCTAAGTATCGTGACACAACACCGCAGGCTCAGTCTGGAAGGTCTCCAGCGCTCTGTGCTGACGCTGTGCAGTCTAAGCTCTTCCCTTTCTCACCACCCACCCCCAAGCCTCATAACCTTTCCTAGATGGCCTCAGTGCCCTGCCTCTCCCTTCGCGGCTCTTCAAGTTTGGCTGGGCTGCTGGGCAACAGGGTTCTGGCCTTGTCTGGCACACCACGGCTTTCAGTTTGGCGACGGCCCCAGATCCGCTGGGGTCCAGCTGGCAAGGCCCTCCTGTTCCAAGTTTCTGAAGGTTCCAGCAGCCAACCCTGCCCTCCAGGCTCCTCCCTCAGACCCCAGGCAGATGGTGAGCATATACTCGGAGCCTAGCTGCTGCAGGCCCAGAAGTCCCCTATAGCAGCCCAAGCCCCCTTCGGCCTCCTCCCTGCTCTCTGGAAAGGCCCAAGTGGCCAGAAGCAGGAATGGTTGGACAAGGGCCTCTGGGAGAGCCACGTGGGCCAGCCCAGTGCCTGCCAGCTCTCAGGCTGATCTCACAATGGCTCCTTTCACCAGAGAGAGGAGCTGGCCTGCCTGTAGCCCGCGAGGTGCTGTCCCAGGCCCCAGGGGCATGGAATGGGAGATCAGAAACTAAGGGATTGCTAAGGCTGAGAGAGGTAAATGTGCTGAGCCACCCCCTCATGACCACCTGATGTCAAGGTCACCACCCCACAACTGGGGCTGCAGGAGATCAGGTTCTCTGGGGCCCGGGGCTGGAGTGGGGGTGGGGGGGTGAATAAGTGTGGGAGCAGATGGAGGGAAAGAGTTAGTCATGGGGTTCTGGGGAGGATGGGAGACTGGGCCCTCAGCCCACGCTCTCGCTGGCATCTGCAGGCCCATAGCAAGAGGGTGACGTGGTCCCGGTCCTTGAAAAGCCCTTCCAGTAACAACTGGGGCATCCCATCCAGGCATCTTTCACATCCCCCCTCTTCTCCATGCCTTCTGCCCAGGCTTCCATGATCTCTCAAAAGGACTTGCATCTTCCTACAAATATATCTGCCCCCATCCGCTCCCCCTTCTCCATTCCCAAGGCACAAATCTAATCTAAGCTGCTCAGTGAATTAAAGTCCTCACCAGCTGCCCACTGCCCAAAGGACCATGGCCTCGGGGTCCACACCACCATCTATGCCCACTCAATATCTATTCCTTCTTCTGATCTCCAAATCCTTTTATTCCCAGGAAACCATCTTTCCCCCACTCTCAGTCCCTGTGGTTTGGGTGGGGCTCACACCTAGGGATAGGCATGTGACCCCAATTTGGCCATCTCCCCCACTTCCACACAGTGACTGGTTCAGGCATAGGCATGTGACCCAAACAACTCCAGGGAGATGCAATTTCAGAATCTGTGTTTAAACATTTGGACAAATGAATCTTTACTTCCACAGGGCTTGGAACTGGGAGGGTGTCAGCCTGGAGCCTCCTTCATTTGGAAAGAACCTGCTCCACAGTGAAGCCAACAAAGGAAGCAGAAAGATGGGAGACCAAGTCCTGGTGGCATCATTTGAACCCCTAGATCCAGCTGTACCTGAAGCAGATAAGCTGAATTATTTTTTGTTTGTTTCTTGAGTCAGTACATTTCCTTTTCATTTAAGCCTCTTGGAATTGTGTTTTCTGTCTCTTGCAACCCAGGACTTATGACCAATACAGCGGCCTCAAGCCAGTTTTGCAGTCCCATCTGCCTTGCTCTGGACTCGCTATTCCCTTGAACACCCCATGTACTTGGTGACTTCTGCTGGGCACTCTACTTGGGGTGGACTTACTTTCCCCCTTTCATACTTGCTCAGCTCTCTCTCTCTCTTTTTTAAAAGATTTTATTTACTTATTTGACAGAGAGAGAGAGCATGAGCACAAGTCGGGGGAGGCAGAGAGAGAAGCAGACTTCCCACTGAGCAGGGAGCCTGACGCGGGGCTCGATCCCGGGACCCTAGGATCATGACCTGAACTGAAGGCAGATACTTAACCGACTGAACCACCCAGGCGCCCCTGTCCTTGCTCAGCTCTTAAAAGTCCAGTTCAAATGCCAGTTCCCTCACAGAGCCTTCCCCAACACCTCCCCAGGGAGAATTTGCTCTTTGCTCCTGTGCACTCCGGAAGCATTATTAGACTGGTTCCTAGTGATTTGCTTTTTTGTATATCCATCTCTTCTGCCAAATTATTGAGCTTTTTGAGGGCAAGACCTATGGTATCTTGTTCTTTTCTTAGTACCCAGTGTGCCTGGCCTGGCACAGAGTAAGTGCTCAAGAAATGCTTCTGGACTGATCTGACTTGCCTTCGGACTGGGTGGGTCTGGCTGGGGTTGGTGCTACGACTAGGCAGCTCTGCGGCCCATTTCCACCTCGGGGCAAATGCTGTTCCTTCAACCTAAAATGTTTATCTCCCCTCAGCCTAAATACCCTACTCATCCATCAGGCGACTCTGCCCCTCATATCTGACGAGAGGCCTGTTTTGGAGGCAAACAGACTTGAGTTCAAGCCCCGATTCTTCTACATGGCTCTTGAGTGATGTGGGCTGAGTCACAGAACTTCCTTGAGCCTCGGTTTCCTTAAAATAGCAAACACATGGTGCTTATTTGTGTGCTGGGCATTGTTCTAAGTGCTTTCCATGTCCTAGCACTTCCAGTTTTCTTATCCGCCCTGTGAGGCGTAGGTTCTATTATTGTCCTCATTCTAGTGACAGGAGAGCTGAGGCCCAGAGAGGTTAAGTGTTGCCCGAGGCCATGGCCCGGAAGTGGCTGAGCGGGGGTTTGGAACTCCAGCCCCAGTCAATGCTCTTCACACTCAACTGTCCTGCCGCATGGAAAATGGACATACTAGAACCTTCTTCATGAGGTTGTTGTGAAGTCCAACCCTCACATAATGTGTGTGGACGATCCAGCAGAGCTGAGCACTGCTGTTACCACTGGTGTGTTCTGAGCCTGGCGGAGTCCAGTCCTCTCAGAGAATCCTGAATCTTGGGGTCGCGCTGCAGGGACTGGGGCCGTGGCTGGGCCAGAACAGTATCCACTTGGCTCTGGCTACATTCTAGGGCTCTCTCTGCTTGGCAGAAGGACTCTGCTCATAATGCTCATTTGTCCAGACTGTGGTTCAGTGGCTTCTGCATTCTCTGCACGCACTTCCCTGGGCCCAGAAGGGATGGAGGGTGACGGGACAGGCTCCAGCCAGGCCAGGGAAAGCTGCTGGGAATTAAGAGGTCTGGGGAGGCAGGATTAGCCTAGTTTCTAGAAACCCCAGCTGTGCCACAGCCTCGTTGTGAGAACTTGGGTAAATCGCATAGTCTCCCTGGGCCTCAGTTCCTTCATCTGTGAAATGGGGACAGTAACTGTGCCTACTTTATCAGGTGGTATAGGGATGAAAGAAGTTGCTGTATTTTGCAGTACCTTTGTGGGCACCTAATAGACAACAGTTAATCATTAGTTTTATTTGGCTGTTTGCTCAGCCAGGCTGCCTAAGTTTCAGTCTTGGCTCTACCATTTCCTAGCAGTGTGACCCTGAGCAAGTTACTTAACCTCTCTGTGCTCAGTTCCTCACTTATAACCTGGGGACGAGGACAAAATGCTAATAAAACAACAATGTGTCTGCCACGTTAAAAGTGCTCCGTAAGCTTTAGCGCTTGCTATTGTTATTCTCCAGCTGCAAGACCTTGGCCACAGCCTGTCCCTTCCCGTGCCTCAGTTTCACCACTAGTTCGGTGAAGTTTAGACTTGACTGTGAATGCCATGTGCTAACAGATTCCCGGGCTCCACTCCACTCTACCAAATCAGTCTGTCCTTGTTTTTGCTCATCGGTGTATTCTCAGAACCTGGCCTGGATCTGGCCCTCACTAAATATTTACCAAATTTATGTTTTTCATTAAACAAACACCAACTTAGTGCCTTTTTTTGCATTTATTTTTATTTTTTTTTTAAGTAGACTCCACACCCAACATGGGGCTTGAACTCAAGACCCCGAGATCAAGAGTCGCATTCTCTACCCACTGAGCCAGCCAGCCGCCAACTTAGTGCTTTTTATGTGCCAGGCACTCTTCTGAGTGCTTTACAGATGTGAATGCATTTATTCCTCGCCATCTTGGAGGGAGGGACTATTAGTATCACCATTTTTTTTTTTTTTAATTTATTTGCGAGAGAGAGAATGAGAGACAGCATGAGAGGGAGGAGGGTCAGAGGGAGAAGCAGACTCCCTGCCGAGCAGGGAGCCAGATGCGGGACTCAGTCCCGGGACTCCAGGATCATGACCTGAGCTGAAGGCAGTCGCCCAACCAACTGAGCCACCCAGGCGCCCCCCATTTTTTTTTTTTTAACAGATGGGGCAGCTGAGGCAGAGAGTGAATGTGCTAGGGGATTTGAACCCAGGTCCTCTGGTTCCAGGTTTATCTTCTGAACTTCTCTGACCCTGTCCCCTCTGTTCAGGAGTGGGGGTGCACAGTGAACCCACCCATCCGTGGGCATCCATTACTCATCTCCTGGGATGGGATTCTCCCATCTTCAGGGTGGGAGGAGGGGGTTGGCTGTGGGATGTGGGGAGCTGAGCAATGCGCCTAGCCCCTGGGGACAGCCTGCCAACACCTGCCACTCGGCCAAGTCCAAAAATGGCTTGGGCGCAGCTCCCATCCTGCTCTTCTTCCTGGGAAGGGAACAGGAAAGGCTCAGAGGTCTGGCTTTGGTACTGACTCACGGGGAGGTGGGGGGAGCCGCGGAGTCAGGAAGGGCTCAGCGTGCGTTAACTTTGTCTTCTTTCCTTGGACACTCACTGGAATAAGGCTGGGTCCCCAGAGCCAGAGGCCTGAATCCACCAAACCCAGAGCCTCAAGATGCTCACAGACTTGGCAGGGGAAGGGATGCTACATTGAAACCCAGTCACAGCATCCCTCCGGGAAGAGGAGGGTCTTTGCATGGCCAAATACACTGGTGGCCACCTCGGGTGTGAAGGGCACTGCCCTCTCCCTGGCCACAGCCTCCAGGGAAGGCCTCGGGCAAGGAAACAGGGAAGACTTGTGACCATAAATGGGAGAAGAGGACAGGAGCAGCGAAATGGAGCCTGAAGAAAGAGGCAACCTGTCCAGAGTCCCATTGTTCCCAGGGTGGAAATGTTTGCTGGATTTTTAAGATGAAGGATATTTAATAATCAGACTCAACTGTTTAGCAGTGACTGCGTCGCCACTAATCCCTCCGGACTGACCACGTGCCACACCCGGGCCTTCCCACCACTTAGGGGCAGAGGTGTTCCAGGACTGGGAGTGGGGGTGTGGACAGCACACATGGGGCCCTAGACAGGTCTGGAGAGCGCCAATTCAGTGGATGCGGTCCTGGGAGGCCAATGAGATGGGCTGCCTGTAACCTGCCCATCTCCTGGCTTTCTCCCTAGGTGGGCACTAGGGCTTTGAATCAGGTGGTCAAGACTGCAGACTGCAGAACTAGATTGTGCAGGCTTGACTCACGTACTGCCCGTGTAAATGTGGGTCCTGTCCTAGACTCTCTGGGCCTTGGTTTCATCTGCAAAATGAGAATAATAACATAAAGGCTAAGGTGTAAGGACTTTATGTGGATTATCCTATTTTAACCCTTGCTACAACCCTGTGGAGTAGGTACTCTTTGCAGGTGAGGACACTGAGGCAGGGGAAGCAGCTGACTACGTTTCCACAATAGGTAGCAGAGCTGTGAAAACCCAGGAGGTCTCACTCCAGAAAATGTGCTATGACCTACTTCATGGATCACATCAACCCATGAAGGTAGTTGTGAATGTTAAGTGAATTTATGTATGTAAAGCTCTCAGAACAGTGCCTGGCGCGTGGGAAGTGCTCGAAAAGTTAAATGTGAGCTCTCATGCTGTGGTCAGTGATGTGGACACCTGACTCAATAGGCTTAAACATTAAGGTAATTTATTATTTCACCAACAGGAAGTCCTGATGCATTCCTGGCCTCAGGATTGATTGATTCAATGGTTTGACGATGGCATAAGGACCCAGGAGCTTTCTTCATCCTGCTCTGTGCATTGGATCCAGTCTAAGGTCAGCTCCCCTCTTGGTGGCAAGATGGCTGCCAGCAACACCTAGACCGTCAAACATCCTTACTCTTTCCCAGCAAGAGGAAGAGGCTATGCCCCTAAACCAGACATCTAGGGCCTTCCCTTCAGTCTGACTGGGCAAGCCATGTCATGTGGTCATCCCTGGACCAATAACGGCACCAAAACAATGCTCCCGAGCTGGCTGGCTTTGCCTTCTCTGTCTACAGGCTTGGAACTGATATGGGGGTAGGCTTTCCCTGAATAAGGGGGCTGGCCAGAGGGTTCTGTTGGGAAGGGATAAAGGGGTTGTGGATGCAACTTTAAAGAACTAGTGACCCTTGTCAACTGGAGGATCTGGGGAGGACCCCTGGGTTACACAAATAATTTGAATACAGTGTGTTCATCCAGTGTCCGTTGGTGCCGGATCCAGAGGAGGAAGAGGTTTATTTGGACTGAGGGTGGAGGTGTATTTGTAGGAAGATCCCTGGAGGCTTCGCCTCTGAATCCTGGACTATGAGAAAGATTTCCTCGGCCGGGAAAGCCTGCGAGGAGGGTCAGAGGGTACAGCATGAGCAAAGATCTGTGTGCTTCTGGGAAGCTGGGGCTTACGGGCAGAGTAGCCTGGGAATGGGCAGTGTGGAGACATGGCCCTCGGCACACAACTGGTTCCTCTCTACTTCCTCCCCAACCAAGAGCACCAGAACGTTAACAGCTAGCACTCCCGAGCACTTGCTATGTGCACGCACTTCTCCGGCATTCAAGGCAATGAGATACAGAAAGCTAAAGTCCCACAGCTGCCAAAGGGCCCTCTGACCCCAACACCAGGGCTTTCAACCTGCCCGGTACCTTCCTCACCAGGTCCCCAGCCCTGCAGCAGGAGGAGAGAGAGGAGCCCCATCGGGCCAGGGCGTCAATGCATGAGTCACTGCAGCTGGTGGTGGCCTCTGTTAGGGGAACCTGCATCTGGCAGACAAAGGCGGGAAGCCAGGTTTTGTCTCTAGTGGGCAGGGAGGTGGCTTCCTCCCAAGGTCTGAGAGATGGGGAGAAGCTGGGGGAACAGATGTGGAAAGGGGCCCTAGAGCCCAGAGATCTTGCTTTCTAGGACTAGCTCCCCAAATCGCTGTTTGCTCACTTGAAGTAATAACAACCCGCAGTATTTCAAATATCCTGCCATTGGGAGGGGGCAGATGGAACACGGTGAAGAATGCCAAACGCCTCTTTACCATGCCATTCAAGTGTTATTTGTTTTTCTTATTAAAGCAGAAATCCTGGGTTGAAAATGTGGGCAGCAATTGCCTTTGCCACTCAGCCTTTGTTCTGCTTTTCTACTTTTTGTGTTTTTTTCCCCCCAGTGTTCTCTACAACGAACATATTTTACTTTTTAATGGACTCCCCGCCCTCACAAAGGAGAACATTAAAATTCATTATTAAAATTCCTCCGTGGGCTATGTCTACATAAACCTATGCATATATTCATAGAATGTCTTTGGAAGGCAACCTAGAAAAATGGTCAAGCACGGGGCTGGTGGGAGGGGAAATGGGGGAGGGGGGCTCTGGGCTGTAGTGTCCATGGGACTGCTTGAATTATTATTTATTTATCTTACCATATGTGTGCATAACCCTTCCAAGAAGTGTGTTTAGTTTTGTTTAGATTTTCTTTTTTTTAAAGTAATCTCCACACCCAACATGGGGCTCAAACAACGCTGAGATCAAGAATCACATGCTGTACCAACCGAGCCAGCAGGGGCCCCTCAAAAAAGTTTTGTTTTGTTTCACTTTTAGTCAAGAATATCAACCAGACCCAAGCCCCAAATTTCCATTGGGTCCCACAGTTGCCATCCTGGGGACTCGGCTATGGGCTTCCCCCTCATTCTCTGGTTCTGGCTCTTGAAGAGACACCCCTTTGCAGAGACCCTGGGTCCAACTGGGAGTCTCCCAGCCAAGTGGCTGTTTCTCCCAAAGTGGGCACCTGGCCACTCAGGGAGCAAAACTGTGGGGGTGCCCCTCTCCCTGGAGGACCCCTACCAGGGCAGGCAGCTGCTCCTCACTGGCTCCTCACTGCACCTCCACACCGAAGAGGAAGGCCACGTCTCTTAGGAAAGCATGGGGTCCTCCGTGACCAGCCCCCCTTCTGTCCAGTTCATCCTCTCCACTCCCTCATCACCGACGCTCAGCTGGGAAGCAGAAGAAACTTCCTTCTCTCACCTCAGGCCCAAGCACAAGCTGTTCCCTGTACCTGAACAGTCCCCCTCCCCCATCTAATTCGCCCAGCTAATATCGACTCATTACGCAAACCTGATCTTAAATGGGCCCTCCTCCAAGAAGCCTTCCCTGATCAGTCCTGTTAGGGGCCCTCCGCAGGGCTCCCATGACACACCGGGATTCCCTAGTGAGGGCTAATTACCTAACTCACCGATCCTCAGTTTTCTTGTTTGTAAAACAGTGCTTAGTGCAGAGTTGTAAAAGATGACATGACTTAATAAAGATAAAATGCTCAAAATAGTGCCTGGTACAAGGTAAGCACTCAATAACTCTTGGTCCTTATCAGGCGATATTTAGAATCGCCCGTTGATCTGTCTCCCCCGATAGACTGTGTTGAGCTTCTTGCACACCGTGGTTGGGTCATGTCATCCTGACAGTCACTCAGGGCCTGGTACATATTAAAAAATTATCAAAAAATTCTTGTTAAAGGAATGACATGATCCATTCACACCAGTAACCATTTCTGGAGCATTTGCAAAGCATGTAAAGTATTGAACGCTCTGTGTCAAACACTGAGCTACATGTACTCTCTACATGATTTTCACTTAATCCTTGTGTGGAGGGTGTGAGTTAGATCCCTGTAGTATCCCCATTTCACAGATGGGTAAACCTTCTATCCTCTTAACCCGTTTTCTTTTTTCATCACGGCACATCCCCTCCTGATGCGTTATGTATTTATTTGTTTGCTAACAATAGAACCTGACTGTCACTCCACCAGCATAGAAGTTCAGTGAGAACTTGTGTTCTATTTTGGTGGTGTTCATGAGGCCTAGCACAGGGCCCAACACATAGCAGATGCTCACTTTATATCTGTGCTAAATATCCTTGCTTCTGGAAAACCTGTTGACTCTTCTCCATCCGAGACTAAGAGGGATGCCACCACCTTTACTTTCACAGGGTGTGCAAATTATGAGTACGTCCCCTTCTTTGATATTCCTTTTTAAATCTGTGGTTTTCTTGGCCAGCCAGCAAACTCTTGGAGGACGGGGCCTGTGGTTAATGACAGGAATAACAATGAACATTTGTTGAGCATTTAGCATCGGCCAGCTCTTCACCTGATGTATCCCATTCACCAGTTTCAAGGAGCCTATGGGTAAGGTCTTGTCCCCTCCTTACAGAGGGGGAAACTGAGGCTTATGGAGGTGAAGAGACTTACCGCAGGTCACGGGCCGGTCACTTGTTAATGGCACCTGACCCAGGCAGTCTGAATTTAACATTGGGGTCCTTAACCACCACACACATTGCCTCTTTGGGAAAGACAATAGTCATCTGGACCATAGACTGAGTGGAGAGCATTCCCAAACGCTTTGACAAGCAGGAAACAGAAAAGGTGGTTTCTGGTTCCACTGATTTCCAGCCCCACTTGAGACAACGGGAGGTGGGATACTTGACAGAAGTCCCTGCAGGGGAGGAATCATGCAGGAGGAATCAGGCAGACTTTCCAACTTGCCTTTCATGACATTGATATTTAGAAGCACATGGACCAGGTATTTTTGTAGAATGTTGCTTGATTTGGGTGAGTCTGTTATTTCCTCAGGTTATACATTCTCAGCTGGAATATTTATGCAACTGATACTGTGCGCATCAGTTCCAGAAGCCCCCGATGTCTTTCTGCCTGGAGAGGGTGATGTTTATTTTGATCACCAGTTAAGAGGCGGTCTGGTTTCTGAATGTTATAGTTTTCATCCTTGCAAGTAGTAAGCAATCTGTAGGGACACTTTAAGGTTACATAAATATCCTGTTCTTGTTGACTCTTGTAGTCTTTTTTTTTAAGATTTTATTTATTTATTTATTCAGAGAGAGAGCACAAGTGGGGGGAGAGTCAGAGGGAGAAAGAGAATCTGGAGCAGACTCCTCACTGAGGATGGAGCCCAACCCAGGGCTTGATCCCATGACCCTGAGATCATGACCTGAGCTGAAATCAAGAGCTGGACACTTAACTGACTGAGCCACCCAGGCACCCTTCTTGTAGTGTTTATTTCTGATCAGCAGGAAGAGGTGCCCCGCCCCCTTTTACCTTCCTTGTCCTTGTCATCCTCCCCTGGTGAGGGATGGGGATGGGCCTTGCTTAGCATACTAGATCAGCATTCTGTGGGGCTTGGACATGCTCACCCCCTGAGGAGCCCCACTGGGTGAATCCAGGGACTCAGATCCTTGCCTTGGCAGGGTGTATCCAGCAGCTAAAGAGACCGGCAGGGGAAGAAAGGACTCCTTCTGGAGCCTCACCTGAAAACGAAGAGGTGAACCAAATGACAGAAGAAAATAGTACTGGGCTCATCCCCCAGGGCCCTGGCCATGTCTGTGAACAGCTCAGACAAGGCTATTGTCCTTCTGTCAGGGACTGTCCCCTAGGGGTTACACAAAGACTAGGCGGTCCTGGTCTAAACATGGACATTGCATTAGCTCTGTGGGCCTCCAGGTATCACCAGGCCAACAACTGAGGGAGGTGGACCCCCAGGGCATGGGATGCAGCTGGGAAAACATCAACTCCAGGCTTTTCCTTTTCCCCTGTTTGCAGGGTCTCCTCTGGCTGCTGACATTCAGCACAGCTCAGAGCTGGGGAACTCATTTATTCTTTTGAAGCGTGAAGGACACTTCTCAGCTTTGAAAAAATACTGTTGCCTGCTTGAATTTCAAATAGTTTAATGCCCCCTCTGCTACCTAGCTGTGATCTAAAGGACTGATTGTTCAGGCCTCAAAGTACCGAATAAATGAACTATGAATGCCCAAGGATGGAGAAGA